AAAAAAAAAAAAAAAAAAAAAAATCCAAAAAAAAAGAAAAAAAAAAGAAAAAAAAAAATAAATAAAAAAAACAATAAAAAAAGATAATTTTAAAAAAAAAAAATTAAAGGGTAAAAAAAAAAAATAAAAAAAAAAATAAAAAAAAAAAATATTAAAAAATAAAAATTAAGAACCAAAAAAAAAAATAAAAGATAAATACAACAAATAAAATTTTTTTAAATAAAAAAAAACACAAAAAAAAATTTTTAAAAAAAGAAAAAATAAAAAAATAAAAAAGAAAAAAATAAAAAAAAATAAAAAAAAAAAATTAAAAATTTTTTAAAAAAAAAAGTTTTTTAAAGTAAAACAAAAATAAAAAAAAAATTAAAATAAAAAAAAAATAAAAAAAAAAATAAAAAATAAAAAAAATTTTAAAAAAAAAAAAAAATTAAAAAAAAAAAAAAAAGAAATAAAAAAATAAAAAAAATTAAAAAAAAAAAATTAGAAAAAAAAATTAAAAAAAAAAATTTTTAAAAAAAAATAAAAAAATTTTTAAAAATATAATAAAAAAAAAAAAAAATAAAAAAAAAAATAAAAAAAAAAATAACAAAAAAAAAAATTTTAAAACACCAAAAACCCCCATTGAAAATATTAAAAACATAAAAAATATAAGATTTAATAAAAAAATTAAATAAAAAATTTTAAAGTTTTTTTAAAAATAAAAAACCCCCCCCAATAAAAAAAACAATTTTAAAAAAATAAAAAAATAAAAAAAATTTTAAAAAATAAATAAAAAAAAAAAAAAAAAAAAATAAAAATAAAAATAAATTTTTAAATAAATAAAAAAATAAAAATTTTATAAAAATTTTAAAAAATATAAAAAAAAAAAAAAATAAATAAAAAAGAAAAAAAAAAAAAAAAAAAATATTTTAAAACAAAAATAAATAAAACCCCCCCTAAAAAAAAAAAAAAAAAAAAAACTAAAACAAATGAAAAAAAAAATAAAAAAAATAAAAAAAAAAAAAAACATTAATAAAATAATAAATTTTAAAAAAATAAATAAAAAAAAAAAACAAATAAAAATTTTAAAGAAAAAAAAAAAATAAAATAAAAAATAAAAAAAAAAAAGAAATAAAAATAAAGAAAAAAAAAAAAAAAAATTTTTTAAAAAATAAAAAAAAAATAAAAAAAAATTTTAAAAAAAAAATTTTTAAAAACAAAAAACAAAACAAAAAAAAAAAAATGAAAATTTTTAAGAATAAAAAAAAACCAAGGGGCACCACCAAAAAACAATTTCAAAAAGGGGGAACGAAAACACCTACACACAAAACAACCTTACAAAAAATACCCAACACCAAATAACCGGCCACACCCAACACAATACAAAAACCCCATAAAACCAGAAACAGACCACACACACACACAAAAACAACCACACCCCTAAAAATTTTCCAAACAAAACACAAGGACAAACACTTTTTTTTCCCCCTTACCACCAATTCCCAACCCAACAAACTTTTTTTAAAAAACCCCACATTCCCACCTTCAAAAATACACAAATTTTTAAAAATTAAACCCCCCATTTTTTTTCCCATCATCGAAAATACAAAAATTCCCACACAAATTTTCCCACCCAAAAAAAAATTTAAATACAAAAAACCCAAATCAAACCCCCCAAAAACCCCCACCCAAACCCACACAAATTTCCCACCTCCCAAATTTTAAACCACCGGTTTTTTACCCCATTTCCCATAACAAAACCAGGGGAACATCCCAACAAAACCACATTTTTCCAACACCAAACCCCAAAAAAATTAAACCACCCCAATTCCCCCTCCTCAAAACATTTTAAACCCACTTACACAAAACCCAACCCCTTTCCCCCCATAAATTACCCCCTCCAAAGGCCCTGGTCCACCGACCGGGAACACCCAAAGAAACACCCCAAAAATTTAAGCCCCCCCGGCAGACCGGGGAAACCCAAAAAATTTCCCCCCTTTCCCTGTGGGGGTAAACCCCCAATCAAACGACCCAACCACCAATTTGGCCCAAGGGGAAAAAAAAACCCCTTTAAAAATCCCCCCCTTTGGGCCCCCTCATTTCCCAAACCTTTTTCCCCTTACCTTTAAATTTCATTTTTTCCAAAATTCCCGGGGTATTGGTTTTAAGGGGTTTCCCTTAAATTAGAAGAATCCCGTTTAATAAATTTTATTTTTCCAAAAATTTTTTTTAAATTTTATTTCTTCCAATTTTCTATAAAACAAAATATAATTCGGGGGCGGGTTTCCTTGGGTTTTTCCAAATTAAATTACCCTTTTTATTGGCCCTTCCTACTTTTTTCCCCCCCAATTTTTAAGAAAAACCCTTTTTTACCCAAAAAATTTTCCCGGTCGGAACCGCATCCCCGGAAAAGATGTCCTTTGGGTTTTTTTTGTTAATTTTCCCCCCCGGTTTGACCCCTTTTATTCTTGGTTTTGGTTAGGTTGTTTAAGTTTGGTTATTTGGGGGGACAAAAGTTGTTGAGGAGAAAATTTGAAAAGGTGGGAAAAAAGGGGGAAATTTTTAATTTTTTTTTGCAGGCCTAAAGTTTTACGGGGTAAGGGGGGTCCGGCCTGGTATCCAAACGGGAGGAAAATTAAATTAATCTCTGAGCCTGCCAATTCCCCGTGTGTGCTCGGCGTCGGGTGGAAACATTGTCTAATCTTCTCACTGGACACCTAACGTCCTATGGTATCATCTTAGTCTTTCCAGGGTAGAATGGTGACTCCATCCAGGCACTTCTGGTAGCTGGGGTTTCACTTTTTTTTCTGACTGGCAACAGGCTCTGGCGAAACTTTGCCTAGTAATCTACTTGCAGCCATTATTCAAGACTTATGACAGACAAGAGCATAGAGCCTAAACTAGTTTGGCCTTGCTTTGCCGAAGATGTAAGGGGATCATGGGAACGGCAAGGTGCAGAGCTGTACCCATGCTCATTTCCTGAGGGGTTGAGGCATGTGCCCAAGGAGATATTAGAAACATCGTAGAGGAAATCCCCAGCATGTTGTGCTCTCACAGTTAGGAAGCACTCTTTGTCCTTTCTTGACTCTTTCGAACATTGTTGGAACTATTTTCTCCATAATAGGGCCGTCCCATGGGACTATGGTCTTGAGGAGGAGCTGGCCTGCTTGAAGAGTCTACGAAGATATCCCACTGCCCTGCGCCTTCAATAAACTTTGGGTCGCCAGTTTACACAAAAACCTTTTAAATGTTATTATGGGATTATCTCCCTCTACAGTTTTCTGGATACAGTCAACAAAGGTACTAATGTCGGGAATGCTGTGTTGCCTTGGGAACTCCTATTTCTTCCAATCTAACTAGACGAGTCGCTGGATTCCATTGGTGATCTTCCAGTGACAGATTTAGTGCTTTCCCGAATAGTAAAGAAAGAGTCTTTTCATAACCCAAACAGAAACGTTTTAACCAAGAGTCGGCAGCCTGTCATCCAAGAGAAATGAACCCTGCTACCTTTGACCCACAAGCTTATTAATTATTGCTCCCGGTGTGACTTTGTATACTCTACGTTTGCCTGAGTCAGGCTCCGTGTATGAAGCTCTCAGGTGCACCATTATTCACGGTGACGCCAGCCACAAAAGTCTCGCCTTCCGAGGAGCACATTAATTCTCCGACACAGTTAAGTGTGTCCGAAAAATTTATGGGGGAAATTTATATTAGATTTATATAGCAGGTCCCAAGAATTGTGTGTTGAGGCTGTGGGCTGAACGAGGCTGGGCTCCCAGGCCAGAGGTGCCACCACTAGTTCCTTGTACAACCCAGGGACAAGGAGAAATTTCAGCATTTGGGATGCAGTATAGTCTGCCTGCGAGAGGCGAAAAGTGGTAGCGTCAACCACCAGTATTTAAGAACTAACCTGTACCTGGAACAGAATGTATACGTTCGGCTCACTATCGAAAGTGCCCGTGTTCGATTTCCTTCGTGCTGAGCAAGAAGTATGAGCAAGTCTCCTTACATCTGCCGTCCCTGTTTACCTAACCGAAAATAAATACCTAGTTGTTAATCAGCTGTTGTGGCATGGTTCCCAGGTGATGGTAGCACACCCTAGAACTGGGCTTGGGAATAATCTGAGGTAGGATGGACATTTCACCTTGCAAATAGTAATGTGTCAGAGTCTCCTTACTTACAACAATCACAAACGAGTGATCAATAATGCACAATAACCGCGAGGGGAAGGGAGGTAATGATATTGCTAGAGGCTTTTTGCTCTGCAATTGTATCACACTAGACGGTAGCTTTTCCTTGCTGGACTGCGTTCCTGAAAGCTTATGTTTGGACTCCACTGATTTTTTTTTTTACATTCCGTTCCCTTTATTGCATTGCTCCTGAAGAAGCTTTTGCAAATACATCGCAAGAGGACTCGAGTAACAGCGTGGTTGCCTGATCAACCAGGCTGTTACTGCTGGCCGCGAGCAGTCCAACGTACAAACTTTAGCCCGGCTGGTCAGGCACTGATTTCAGGAGTTTGCCCAGTTCCCTCTTAAAGGCAGCCAGAAATTTGTTGGAAATTTTCCTTATGCACAGGGAGGGCGTTGAAAAGTCTAGGACCTCTAACACTCGAGTTTTCTCATATTCTACTAGTCACGCCCCTACTTTATAGTGGCAAGTCTCTTGTCATGCAGAGTGATTTCAGTGTGCAGGTTTGGAGATCAGTCCTTCCAGAATATCTTGGGTGTAAATTATGCAAAAAATGTATTAACCCTCTACCTTAGCAGAGTCGAACACTGGTGTCTTACTTGTAGAATGAGCAAGATAGCTGTCCGTGTCCTGAATATCCAGACTCGCTCTCCTTGGAGGACGATGACTTGACCAAAGAAACTGGAGCTACTCTCCCCTTCTTCTGATCAAACCTGTTTAAACCCCAGTCCCCATTCCTCCCGGCCCCCATTCCTCCCCCAAGATTGCTAGCTTTTCTCCAAGAATATGCTATTTAATATGTTAGACTAAGCAAGAATGTTTGCCCACAGGGAGAACGCGACGCTGTGGGATACCTTCCACCTGGGCATCTCCAGAGATGAGCTGTATGGGTCTGAGGACCCCACTGTCAACAGACTCCTGCAACAGGTGGCCACCATGCCCATCACACACATTAGTAAGTAATGTTACTGCCTCTACTGTAGTGTTCCTGCTACTGTGAATATGATAATGATATACAATACCGACAAATTTATGTATTAGAGACCAATGTAGAAGAAAGAGCATTGGTATGGTGACTCAGGGACTACAAGTCCATTAGAGTAGCAGGATGATAAGTAAGACACATGTGCAACAGTTAGGTATTTATTCCGAGTCGTTCGCCTATACGATAGGCTTCTTCAGTCGAGTACAGAGGAGTCAGCAGAAGCTGTAGAGATGTAATCAGTCCATCACCCTTGAAGGGTGATGGACTGATTACATCTCTACTGATTACATCGTCTCTTCTTCTCTTTTGCTTCTGCTGCTTTCTTTGTACTTGATTGAAGAATCCTACCGTGTAGGCGAAATGTTTCGGAATAAAGATACCTAACTGTTGCACG